ATACACCGACAAAGACACACACACACACACACACACACACACACACACACACACACGGGGGAAGTTGCTTGGTGGCAGGGCAAGCAATACCCACCATTTCCCTTGGTCGCAGAACCTCGTCGGGGACACCGCTGACTTTGTCGGGGACTTGAAGGTTGAAAATGGGAGTCGTGGAGAAGTTGGCAACCTCGAGCGAACCGTCGTGGATAGCGTCAATAATCTTCCTCGTCTGTGCGAGCTTCATTCGGGAGCCAACGCCATAGCTGCACAACACGTACCGGTAAACATACACACACACACACACACACACACACACACACACACACACACACGCACGCACAAAAAAAAAAGCAAAAAGAAAAATCACAGAGGCATATACGGACAAGGAGTTAGATCACACAGATCGCCATTGCTAGGCATTGAACCAATTAAACAAATATCGAGTCTCGCAATCATGCGAGACAATCCTTGAGACGTAGTGATTGTTGCGGGACGTCGCGCAACAAGCTCTGCGTTCCGGTTTTCATGAAGCTATGTCCAAACGAGAGGGGAAGAATCTGATGTGAAAGCGATTTTAGACAATAGATGGGAGTCGCTATTCCTTTCGTTCAAGTTGTTACGTACCTTCTCTCTCGGTTACTTTCGGGGCTGCCATCATCAACACATACACGATGACGGAAACCAGCCGGATAAACGACGGTAACCCTGAGCAGACAGCCAGGTGCAACCCATGCACCTAGGCTTACGTATGTATGTATGTTTGTAGGGACGTGTGTAAAGTGCATTTATGTCTATCTTTCCACGTCATTATTCCAACAGCGTCCAAACAGCCTGAAACAGGCTCTTTGCAGGCCCCCATAATATAATACCTGTCTCTTATACACATCTAGATGTGTATAAGAGACAGCATCAACACATACACGATGACGGAAACCAGCCGGATAAACGACGGTAACCCTGAGCAGACAGCCAGGTGCAACCCATGCACCTAGGCTTACGTATGTATGTATGTTTGTAGGGACGTGTGTAAAGTGCATTTATGTCTATCTTTCCACGTCATTATTCCAACAGCGTCCAAACAGCCTGAAACAGGCTCTTTGCAGGCCCCCATAATATAATACTGCGAAACGCCGCGATCAGACATGTTCGTCCCGTTGTTACAATATGTGTTATTATAGCCCTTCTTGCGGTGTTGTGACGTACCTGCCTCCGACCCATCCGGTGTTGACGAGCCATGCGGTGGCCCCGTACTGCTTCATCTTCTCGGCCAACATGGCAGCGTACTTGGTCGGGTGGTACATGATGAACGCGGCGCCGAAGCAAGCCGAGAACGTGGCCTTGGGCTCCTTGATCCCCACCTCAGTTCCCGCAACCTGCCACAAAGGCAGCATCGCTGATCAGTGATCAGCCATCAAATCCATTCGCCACCAGATGTTCTTTGGGGGCACGTCGCCGACAGCAACAACAGTTACAGCATGAAGCAACCATTGGACGCACGCAAAACACAGCAGCTGCATCTCTAAGACTCTAACGAACAGCGCAGTTAATTAACAGTACTTTGCTCAAAACAACGATTGACCCAACCAAGTGGAAACGAGTTTCTCTCTCTGAGTCAATATTAACTGGGCGATGAAAAAGGTCTAAGCCAGATCTCTCGGCCGCAAAAACGTCTGTAAGGGGGGGGGGGGGGGGGGGGATCAGTAACTTCCCAAAAACACAACTCATCGCAGGACGGGCTCTCCGGAGCTAGCATTTGGAGGCTGAAGAAAGTGGACCGGCAGCGAATAGAATTCGAATAGAGGCCTGCCAGCCTCCTGCAACGACTCCAAAAAAAGGCCAAGGTATACTTTCCCAACGACTGCGATCCCCTACGACCGACTGTGAGGAGCGGTCCCGATTCACTCACCAGAGCCGTGTAGCCGCTGATGAAGTGGTACATGGCTTGGGCATCGGTGAGCTTGCTGACGGGTGGCAGCACTCCAAAGGCATCGCACGTCAAAAGAATGACGTTCTTGGGATGGGGTCCCACGCATGGGATCTTGGCATTGGCAATGTGCTCGATCGGGTACGACGCCCTCGTATTCTCTGGGTTGTCCACAAAGCGACACACAAGGAGACAACGAAACAAAAAAGACAGCCTTCAGCAAACATGAACGGGGCATCGGGTGAAACCCTTAGCAGATCGCTGCATTTCTAAGTAAAAGGAAATCCACAAGGGAGAAACTGTCGTTTAATATTATGGGTGTGGACTTGTGATGTAATATGTATGATACCAATTTCGTTACACCCTGTCATACAAACACTTGACCCCAGTGGATGCAGACGCCGCCAGTGGACCAGACCTCTCTGAGCCGCCATCGCTTGTGAAAAACCTCGCTTTACTTCAGTCAATCCGTTTTTGAAGTGACGTGTCGTACCTGTGATCGACTTGTCGGCATAGTCGACGACTCTGGTCTTCTCATCGTAGACGACGTTCTCCAGCACTGGAAGCGAGAACACGCAGCACAGGCCACCAATCGGACAACCAAAGGCCACGGGGAGTTAGCAGAATGCACGAATACAGTCCAGGATCTCAACCAGGGCATCAGATGGGTACAATAACATCCGTGGCAACCTTGAAAACAAGAAAAGAAGGTAGGATTTCGAAAATCACAAAAAGAAGTGCTATTTTTTCAACACATGCACAAAATAAATAAATTCGCCCACACAATAACAAGCACCCGCCCGTCGACGCACGAGCGCTTTGGGCCAAGGAAATATCTGCGGCCCTGGTATACCTGTTCCGAAGCGAATGGCGTGGAAGATATCCGGCTCCTTTTCCGCTGAGAGGTCAATGCACTTGGCATAGCATCCTCCCTCAATGTTCGAAATTCCGCTGTCGCTCCAGCAGTGCTCGTCGTCGCCGATCAGAGGACGACGGGGATCAGCCGACAGCGTTGTCTTGCCGGTTCCTGCAACAACCCAAGCCGGACAGTGTCTCGTCAGTTACCTTCTTCCTGCAGTGTCTTTTTCAGAAAAGGTCGAGCAGCAATTATCCCGAAATATAGACGTGTGCAGCGCAGCTCGTATCGTTTGTTTTACTGTGGTAAATACATAAATAGCGCTTTTTTGAAGTCTCCCAGCGGCCATGATGTCGGGGTCCGAAAGAAAGATGTATTTTTGCAACGAAAGTGGGACCCCGCCCGCCCGTCCGCCCGCCCGCCCGCCCGCCCGCCAATTCTTTTGCTGTAAAACTGCCGGGACCTGTAAAGCTGCAACGAAAGAATCTGACGTATTTATTTTGCATCGAAACTTTGGCCCCGCCACCATTTTCGCTGTTAGAAACTACCGCGAACGCGCTATTTTTGGAAACTTTCCCTTCTTTACGTCTGTGTTCTGTCTCTGTACCATCACAACAAAGAGAGCAAACAGATTCGATCCAAAACAATGCAAATCTCTGTGACGATTACTTTCGAGTTTCTTCTGATTGACATGAAAGCATGGACGCATTTGTCTTCTTGATCAATGCCCGAGAGACCTCTGAGATCTGCATCTGATGAGTGAACTTAGCGGCCAGAAATGGATTCACGTGCAGATGGTTGGCTCGACTACCGTCTCGTGAATGCTTAAGAACCTTTTTCCCTCTCCTCACCCGAAGGAATGGGCGACGGTGAGATCGCATCGTCATCGCGATGGTTACCTGAGAGCCCGAAGAAGACGGAGACTTGACCTTCGGGCGAGGTGTTGCATCCGGAATGGAGGGACAGGATTCCCCGCTTGGGCATCAGGTAGTGCATCAGTCCGAACAGGCCCTTCTTCATCTCCCCGGCGTACTGCGTGCCCAGGATGACCATCTCYGCCCTCTTCAGGTTGATGYTCACGCTAGTGGAGGTCGTCATGAACTTGGTCAGCTTGTTGGCGGGGAACTTGCCGGCGTTGAAGATGGTGAAATCTGGGACGAACCCCTCCAGCTCGCTCGCCTCCGGCCGAATGCACCTGCGGTCAGCAGCGAAACGAAGCCACGTGTCATGACAGGTCTCTCAGTCACCTCATGCATCCACCATTGCCTCCTTTTGATCGCTTCAAACGAAACGGCGGCGTTGGATATCCGCCTCCTGGTCAGTGCAATGTCACTGTTGTTGAGTCGTCATCATCATCGACGGACGTACTCAAGAAGACTCTTTCCCAAACACAGAAAAGTTCATTGTTTGTTGTGATATTCGCTATCCCCTCTAGCGCTAGTCAGGTGTCTCTAACTCCACTTCCAAAGATGTTGTGCTTCGTGGCCATTCGCATAATGTCGGATACTCTCGTCCAACACGAACACATGAACTCAATGGCATGATATCGAAAAAAAAAAAAAAAAAAAAAAAAAACGAAGCGAAACGTCCATCTGCTCATTGTTAGATGATGACGGCGGCAGCATTCATGAATGCGTGTTAACACGTAAGCATCAGCAAAGGGATGGGCATCTCTTACATGTTCCTCATGAAGAGGGAGTGGTAAGCCCTCTCTGCGACGATGCGGACCTTGATGCGGTTCTGCTTGTCCCAGTTAAGGAACTGATCGTTCACAAACACCTGCAATGCACCAGCGGGGGGAAAACGAAAAAGACAAGCCGTCATCAGCAAAGACCTCTCATCACCAAAAAACATTGTGACGAAATTCAGACGCTGATTCGCTCGGTGATGTTGGTTTGACATTGAAGGGTGAAGAGTCACAAAAAAAACACACAAGGCCATGAATCACACAGAACTTGACACAAGCGTATCACGGAAGCGCACAACACAACACAACAGCTCGTCAAGAGCGCAACACAGAGTAGAGAAAATAGACAGAAACCTCGAGCGCAGACCGGGTCAAAATTGAATCGTGAGTCTCGTGACTCACAAAGCCGGCGTACAAGACCCAACGAAGGCGAAGACGACTGCCACAATCGTGGAGACTGCTGCCTCGACCAGCGTAAATAGAGAGAAAACAAACAGGGGGAGGTATAAAACCGAATCGGATGGCAAGGAAGATTTTTGACGAGTATGCTCGGCTGTTGTGAATCTTGTGATTACCTTTTCCAAGGAGTTGAGGTAATTCAGCGTACGCTCCCTGTTGACCAGGAAAGTTGCATCGTCGATCTCGATGTTCGGCGAGCCTCTGACAAACGAACGCAACAATATATACACACACCACCAGCAACATAGAAGAGTACACGGACACGTTTCAGCACGTAGAACATCGTTGCCAGGGAGAACCAACAAGAGCAGGAGCAGGACGCAGCACGGATAATCAATGGATGAGATCATCAGAACCCTTCCGCGCGATTCAAACCACCAATTATGTGTGCAGAAAACAAAAAAAGGCAGAATTAAGCCCGCAAATGCACGTGGGACTACAGAGAACCCATCAAGCAAGTCCATGGATAATCCAAAAACCCATCTATCGTCTGAGGAGTCGATGGAACCAAATTGAATGTGGATATCACGAGTGTCACTTTCATTCATTCGTGCGATCACAGTATAATCTTCTTTTCTGTATGCAGCTACCAAAACTCCCCCCAATTTCCCCAGAAGACCAGACCAGGGAGTAGCGGACCTGATGGGATCAGGGTTAAACAACCCAAAAGATTTTCCGGCGTAGGATAACCGCCATGGCGGTGGAATCTGCCTATTTTCCCCAGATTGGAAGGATAACCGCCATGGAGGGGCAATCTGCCTTTTTTACCCAGATCAGATATTACATAACGGCCAGCCGCCAGGTTCATTCAGATCTGATGGAATCGCACCTCTCGCGGACTTCGCTTCCGTACTTCCCTCCCCGGTTCTTAGGCAGATTCACCTTCTCGCGGACTTCGCTTCACTAACCGTCTAGGGCCTCGCAGTGTGCCATACCGAGGATCACGAAACAGCGCCATACCAATAAAGTTTTGCCGCGATGTGCGTGCTTGGCTCCGTCTTCTGACAAACATTTACACCTCGCAATTAGACGAGCCATTAAATTTCGAAAATCACGACAGCCAACCTGTATGACTCTCGCGTGTGAAATCATTTGTTGACAATATTGTCTCTCGCCGTTTCAAATCCCTCATTCATTCAAAGAGAGAGAGAGAGAGAGAGAGAGAGAGAGAGAGAGA